AGAGATTGGGAGAGAAAAGAAACCACTATTTTTATAATACCTATTTTGTCCCTATAAAAATAAAAGAAATAAAATGATTGAAAATATAAAAAGGTTATTTTGGTAATATAACATAAAATAATTTCTTTTCTTTTCTCTTAATGAAACCTAACCAAACAAGAATGAGAGAAATCACAATAATTTCTTTTCTTTTATTTCTTCCTTATCCAAACAAAAATGAGAGAAATCACAATCATTTCTTTTCTTTTACAATCATTTCTTTTCTCTTATTACTTAAGTAATCATTTCTTTTCTTTTCTCTCCTTGATTCCCAAACATAGTGTTAAAAGTAGAAACTGCTACTGTTTTAGAGAGGCGCTTTCCTTCTCTAAAAAGCCACCACTTGGCCTATAAATTTCCTTTTCCTCCAGTATTCTAGTCATTCAATTTTGTTCTTCTCTCAAAGGGAGAAGTTTGGATAAGAGAATATGTTATCGCATCGCTTTTTTTGTAGAAAGGTCGACAATCAATGAATTGAGAAAGATAGGAGTAGGGATTCCATTTTAATAGAGAAAGCATACGCAAGACCTAAAGTCTGACTTTGATTATTGTTATTCCATTTCTTTCGTTCTATTTTTTCTATTTCCAATAAGAGAGTATAAACACAGTTTAGTCCGAGAGGCTTACAGTTGGTGTGCTATGACTGTTAGACTTTGATGGTTGTGTTGTGAGAGACAGACGCCATAAAACTCGAGGACCAGTGCTAGAGCAAATTCCGTTTTAAGAAAATAGTGTGCAATACTAGCAGTGGCAGAGTCTAGAAATTAAGTTAGAGGATATACTTATTGATTATAATTTTTTATTTAAAAAAAGTTATGAGCAACATTAAGATAATAAGTGTGTTTGGTTTCAGCTTTCTAAATTTAGTTTTTTGAAACTGAGTTTTTTATTTTTCGTATTTTTTTTTATTTTTAGTGAATATTTTTAAAACTTTAAGCATTTTTTAATTTTTTTTTAAATGTACCTTACTTAAATGTATCTAAAAACTAAAATATTTGTGAAAAAATATTTTAAAAAATTAATAAATACACAAAAATATGAAAAATATACTGAATTTTCGTAATTTTTTTTGTATTTTGGTATTTATTGTATTTTTAAATATTTTTTCACAAATATTATATTTTTTAAATATATTTATATTAGGTGTATCTAAAAATTTTAAAAAATTGCTTAAAATATTAAAAAAATTCATTGAAAATATTAAAATATGAAAAATAAAAAAATATAATTTTTTGAAAACTGTTTTCTGAAAAACAAAACCAAACAAGCTAAATTTTATGAGATAAATTTAAACATAAAAAATTACATATTCATTATTAATAAGAACAAATCAAAATTCTATAATAGTGTGGAATAGCTCGGTGTGTGATGATGATGTAAGATTGCAATTTTAGCACAAAAAATTATGGATCAAAATTCCTAGTTTTAAAAAATAAAAACACATCATTTATAGCACAAATTATTATAAAGTTTAATTAATTTTTATTTGACGGAAAAATATTAAAGAGATGACATTGCTTATAAATGATGTGTTTTGAATGAAAATTATTAAGCAGTCTTAGAGTACCATATTGTGTTACCTACGTGATGTTCAAAGCATAGAAAATCACGAATCACACTAAGTGGTATATCAACTACTTAAAAATAATGAGTTCATTATATCCAATCTATAATATTTTTCTCTACACTATTAATTTAAACTACTACATAAACAATACTACATAATGTTCTCAAAGTATCAAATAACTATTTGTTGTGAATAATATAATAAACCATTAATCAAAGAACATGTTAAGAAAAAAAAAATACATTTTATACATGAGAATAATAATAATAATAATAAAAATCAAAACTGAGGGGCACGTGACCCCTCGACCTGCTGTGCCTCCGCCCCTGAATACCAGTCTCGGTCACCAATTTTTCTGTTCACAAATCTATTTGCTAGATTGCGATTTAATCATCGCGTCTGTTTTAATTTGTTATGTTTAGTCTCACGTGCACACGCAAGATTGCTCAACACTTTTATCAAATCAAGCATGAGTCGAGTTTGAAGAGTTTAGTTGGTTTAATAGCCTAATCAAAATAGGATTGTTTTAACACCCCTTCTAATAGAATTTTTGAAAAATGAACACTTTACAAAAATATATATAATTAAAAAAAATATAATAATTTCATTTTTGTTTTATTTTATTCTTTTATTTTCTACTTAAAAATACCAAAATGCCAAAGCATCAAAAACCATAAAATTATTTTCAGATTTTTTTTTTAAAAAAATTCCAATTAGTTTGATAAAAATAAATATTTAAAATTTTTAAATTGTTTTTACTTTAGGTTAATTCTATTGGCATACCACCAATCCTCTCAAGACACACCATTCTCTCAGCTCACACCACACTCAATTTAAAGTCTTTCATTTTCTGTTAGGGAAATGCTGGAGACCCCCAGCTCCAGGGCACCCCCAGCACCCCCACCTCCACGTGGGGGGCTGCTTGTGGCTGAAAACCAAAAAAAAAAAAAAAAAAAAAAAAAAAACAGTTTTTTGGACCAATCAGAAGGGACCCCCAGTACCCCCACTGGGGGTCTCATGCATTTTCCTTTCTGTTTATACACACTATCTATTTTTTTAATAAAATAACCCTTTCTTCTCGAACCTCAAATCCTCCACCACCACCGCCGCCGCCACTGGCACGCCATCAACAGCTGTCGTCACCCAAAATCGCCACTGCCGTCATCCTCTATCTCCACCCCTAGCCCCTCTTCTTCTTCTTTTTCTTCTTCTCCTCCTCAAACCCTAGCATCATGAACAACTACTAGCATCACAAAAAATAGTCGTCGTGACCCCCTCATTTCAGGCACCAATGCAGCTCCCACTCCCTTATTGGCCCATGACCATCATAGCCGGCGTTGCTTCTCTTTAGCCGTTTCGCCCTCCTCTACCTTCGCCTCGCTCCCTACGCTTTCACCTTACCACCAATCGTAACCCTCTAAAGTTGTCGGAAATGGGATAGAAAACTGCACAATCTTTGAAGTTGATGACAGATTTCTTAGGCTAGTGCGAAAGCTACGTCATCATCGACGGTGGCCTTGCCATTGAGCTCGAACGCCACGGCCGTTGCTGCAACTCGCAAACCCTAGGCTTCTTTCTATCTCTTTGCTATGGAGGATGTTTGGGGTTGTGATGGAGTTTTGAATCGCGATGGTAGGGTTGGTTGATGGGGTTGGTTGTAGGTGGGGGATGAGGTTGTTGGTGATATTTGTCGAATGGCGACAACAATGGGCTACGACGAGCAATGATGGCTTGGGTTAAGGTTAGGGTCAAGGTTAGGGTTGGTGGGGGCAGGGGTGGTGTGGTGGAGTGGGGTGTGGATTGAGAAATTAGTGGGAAGGTTAAAAATGTAATTGACTAGAGAGATAAAGATGCAATAAGAAAGAGGTGATTCTAGTTACACCACTAGGTTACCTCCTTACACCCTCTATCTCATTACACCACTAAAAAAAATGTGATTTTCATTGCACCCATTATACTATCAAAATTAAGTCTAAACTAAAAACTCTTCAAAACCTTTTTTGTTTGTCATTACACCAATAGCTTTTGGTAATACAATGCTAAAGAATATGAATTACACCAACGCCGTGTTACCAGGCAAACTAATTTTTTCTAGTCATTTGTTGCCATTTGATTAGATGATTTTACTTTATTTAAACACGAAATTAGTTGGAGCCTATTTATGAAGTGCCTATTCGGTTATACATTGCTACACAAATTAGATTACTCCAATGTCATGTTACCGAACTAAAATAAATTTGTTCAGCCACTTGTCGTTTTACATGCGTTGTAGATTGTCTTTATTATTGTCGCATTAAACATATCCTTTTGTTTCAATGTAATTAATATCTCTTTCAGTTGCACCATACTCTTTGACATGTTAACTAACAAGGATGTTTCCTCCTTAGATAATCTACCAGCAAATGAGTGCTCTTCAACATGTTTAGCAGTCGAATGATTGTACTTGCATTCCTACAATGAATAGACGCATAATCCTTGCAAGCCAATATATATATATATATATATACATAAATAAAAATAGAAATGCACAGTAATGAGGAGCCGAACAAATTAAAAAGTTTGGTCTTGGGTTATTGGAAATGTATATTTTATTCAACAATGGGTTACCAGACATATATTTTTTGTTTAACAATGTGATTCCAGACTATTTTATTTTGTACAATTTTGACACACTAAATAAAAGTCGAAGAACTTTTTCAAAAAACGAAACAAAAACTTACTAAATAAATAAAAAAACTCACAATTTCACTTTTTTTTTTTTTTTGATTTTTCACTACTGTTTCTTCATTCATTGTTTTCTTCTATGATCAAAACACTATGATTCTCACTTTTTGAAAAGATATATGTAGCAGAAAAGAAAAATTGAGAAGGGAAGAAAAGCAGTACGGGTTTAAGAGCAATGGGTGTAAGAACATAATAAAATATATTTAATTTTAGTCTTTTATTCTTAAAAGTAATTTCACACATGGATAAAATTAGAAAGAAAAAAAAAATCTCATATGAAGGGTGTAAAAAGATAAACTAGTGGTATAAGTAGAATCACTCAATAAGAAAAATTTTAAAAAATAGTTTGTAGTAAAAGAATTTGTGATGTGTAAATAGAATCACCCTTTACTTTATGAAAAAATAAAATTATATAAACATAATAAATATTTTTTTCATATATTTTTTATTATAACTGTATAGAAACCATAAAACTATATAAATTTTTATTTTCATTAAAAAAGGAACTTACGTGTGTAGGTAATAGGTGAATTTAATATGGGAAAATTAGTCTAAGGTCTCTCTCTCATTTTTAGTAATGGAAGAGATCCATAATATTATTTTTTGATGTCTAAAATTCCTAAACCCTCTACTTATCTATCACAGAGAAATTTGATATATCTCACGCTCTCTATTTCTCTCTCTCACTGCTCTTTTCTCTCGTTCTCTCTCTCATCAATCTCAAAGATGAGATCACTCTATTCTTGTCCTGATCATACAACTCGAAGGCATCCTTCAGCCCTGCTAGACCGCCGTTGTCTCCGGTAGCTCCGGCAGTGTCATCGCGACCCTTGCAAAAACTAGCAAACTCTTCGAGACTAATGAAGCCGTCGAGGTCAGCGTCGAGCTCCTCCATCATCTGCCTCACTTCGTCTTCCGATGTGTTGGATTGGAGAGCTTTCATGACTAATACGAGCTCCGTCGTTGAGATCTTGCCGTCGCCGTTGGCGTCGAAGTGATTGAACACCTTTTTCACCTCTTCCTTGTCCTGTAGGTACATTGATGGCTTTTGATCTGAGTTAGGATTAGGATGGGAATGGATTGATATCGACGAAGGAATTGCATGCTGTGTTGAAGAGCTTGAGAGAGAAGTGCTCATGGAGAGATTGTTTAAAGATGATCAAGTCTGTTGAATTTCTCTGAGAAGTCTAGTTCAGAGAAATTTGGATTCCCAGAATTTCTCTAGAGTTGTAGCTGTGTTTTTTTTTCTTTAAGCTGTTGTTGACTCAAGTGAGATCATAGGTAGCTAGTTTGTAGTTGTTGTATCTGCTTGTTGTCCAGCTTATTCTAGAAGGGTCAAATTGAGCCATTGATGGGTGGAGTTGATACTGTTATTGCCTCAAGTTACCTCCAGTTAATCATTTGTCTTGTTGTGCATTTGTGTTAATGCTATCAAAGTGTTGTTGCTTCTATGGCTTTCATGGTGCTACTACAGCTGTTTATTTGATGTAGAAAGAAGATGATGAAGACTATCAAAGAATTTCTCTGGAGAAAGAATTTTTTTAGTGGTTTAAATTTTTTCTAGATCAGGTAAGAACAAAGTAGAGAAATTTTGAATTTCTCTGGAGTGGTTTGAATTTTCTTTAGATCAAGTAAGAACAAAGCAAATAAATTTTGAATTTCTCTAGAGTGTTTTGAATTTTCTCTAGATTAGGTAAGAACAAAGCAGAGAAATTTTGAAGCATTGTGAATACACCATGCAATATATTATAGATTTATAGTCTAGAGAAATTCTCAACAATTCAAATTTATAGTTTAGAGAAATTCTCAATAATAATGAAGCCTTGTGAACCAGAATTTCTCTGTGAAGTCCAGAGAAAATTCGTCCAGAGAAATTCTCTGGATTGAGTTTTCTCTGAATCGATTTTGAAGGACCTTAGACATTATGAAAATATTGAGTGTCCTTTATTCTATAAAATCTTAATATCAGGTACCTTAAAAAAAATCCCCATTTAATATCTAATAAATCCTATGATAATTAATGACATATTTTTATCAAACACTATTAAAAAAATTATTAATTGTTAATTTTAGCGATAGTTTAAAATTTTTTTCACAAAAAATGTAACTAATTATAAGTTTTTGTCACAAAAAATGTCACTAATTTTTAACTTTCAACAATAGTTTAAAAAATTCGTCACAAAAAAAGTCACTAATTATAATTTTAGCGACAATTTATAAAACCGTGACAAAATTAAATTTTAACGACATGTGCAAAAAATCATCACAAAAAATTATATTTAGTGATGATTTTATTAATTCTTAGGCCTCATTTGGTAGCATTACATTTTAAATTAAAAGTCAAAAAATTATTAAAAAAGCTAAAAATCTAACAAATTATACAAAAAATTTAGTGATTCTTTTTTTTTTTTTTTTACTTTTTACGCATCTTTTCATAAAAAAATAAAAAATATTTCAAATATACTAATTCTGTCATCTCATATTTTAATCAAAAAATTAAAAAATTAATAAAATAATATGTTTCAAGTAAAATTTTATTTTTAATAGAATTTGATGAGGATTAAATCGAATCTATTAATAATTTATTTAAAAAAAAATTGAAAATGAAACCACCCATTTTCCAACGACATGTGGCAACAATTTTTGAAAACTAGGCGAAAAACTGGCTTGCTTCAATGTAAACACGTATGAAGTCCAGAACCTTCTGCTTCATTCTCTATTATCGCCTGATTTGTGTTGCTCTCTCTCTCTCTCTCTTTGGGGTGTTCTGAGGTAAGCTCAACTCTCTGTGTTGTGTTTCGGTCATGTACTTTCATTTCCAATCAATGAGGCATTTTGTTCTTCGTAATTTTAATTTTTTATTTTCTAATGAATATTATCTTTGATTCTTCTTCAAAATTTATTTTCTTGGCGAAGTCTGTATTATATAAAGAGTTATTGAAGCTCGAGCGATTTGGACTCTTTATCAATAGTTGTTGTTGGTTTTTTTTGTTTTTGTTTTTGTTTTTGTTTTTGTTTTTGTTTTTTGTTTTTTTTGTGGGTGTGAATTGAATCATTATTTTCGTATCTAATCGGTTTTGAATCCAGGTATGTGTAGGTTTTGATGACTCTTTTATTGTTCAAGTATGTTGACTTTGTGATTGGTTGATGAGAATAAGGGAAATGCAATTTTACAAATTTAGAAAGTCTGATGTACTTTGTTGCTGTGATGGCCTGTAAATGATCCTGAGTTGTGGTTGTTCAAGCTTGGATTGAAAACTTTAAAAAATTGTTTGTTTATTTTTGAGCTAATTTCAAATGAGCTACAATCAAGCCGGCCGGTCATAGGTCTAATTTGAGTAGTTTAGTATTTTATAATTTCATAGTGCATATAAACTTAAGCCAAACTTAGAACGAATTTCAAATTGGTGTTTTTAACAATAAATTCTATATATGGGACTTGTAGGCCATTAAGTCCTATTAATTATCTATTAACCCGTAAAGTCCCATGTTGTAACTAATGACGGAAACACCATTTATCAATAATGCCTCAATTACTGTTAAAAAGAAATTGATTCACCACTATATATAGAAATCATGGGTGGATCAGTTCATGTATGTCGAAATTTTCTGAGAAATTTTTGATTTTGCCATGCGTTATTCTCGAAGATGTACAAAACCTCCCTTAATCTACATAAATCTAAATAAAGGGGAAAGGAAATATAAGTCAACATATATTTATAATCGTACTATTTATATTTAAATTGATACACAACAACTTAATCATGAATGTAAATTTTTGCAAGTGTAAAAGTTTATAAATAAAAGTGTGAATATTTTATATGTGCGAATATTCAAACTTTTAATAAATAAAATAGAGTGAATCTTTAAGAAGGGTAAAACTTGTAAATATCAAATTCACACGTAAAATTATGACAAAAAATGTAAGTGTGAATATTTACACCTTTAGTTTTTGAAAAAGTGTGAATTTCTAAAAAGTGTAAAAGTTGTTAATGACAAATAAAAATTGTACGTGCCAGACCTTACATTTTTTTTACTGGAGTAAACATTTTCACACTTGCTAAAAGATTCATGCTATTATATTTATATATATATATATATATATATATAAATGCATAGAGGAGGATTCTTATAATAAACCATTTATTGAAAGTGTAAAATTTTAAGTGAAAATATTTCACAGTTAAATCCAAAAAAAAAATAAAAATGAGTGAATTTTTTAACTTTTTTCATTTTACATAATTTTATATTCAATTGAGACTTTATTTGATAGATTTCATTGAGTAGTTTTAAAAAATGTAAATTTTATCAAAAACAGTTGTGTATTTTGAAAGTTATAAAATTTTTAAGTTATGAAACATTAAAAAAAAAATTGCCATATAAGCCCATTGACCAAAACAAGGGTAAAATTGTCATGAAAAAACATCCAAATCCAAAAAAAAGATACCCTAGAATACAATTTCAAACGTATAGTATTTAATGGATTATAAGAATTTTCTTAGGATCTATGATTAAACGAGTTCCTCTAATGGGACTTTCCACTAATTTTCCCGTTGCGAAATGCATTAAAACTTCACATGTTTACCTAATGAGTTGATTTTGAAACAAACTTCTAATGAATTGAACATGAATTAAATGTATTAGGATTAGTCCACTCATGTGATATGTGTGGATCTATACAGTTGTTAGGTTGGTTTATATATGTTTTTGGGTTACGATAGTAGAGTTTGAAATCTACTGGGAAACTCAATATTTGTAGGATTTGCTTAACTAATTGTATGGAACTAGGTTTCTTTTGGGTAGACTATTATAAATAGTCATGGAAACTATAGGTTTAGGTGAGATTAAGAGAGTAGTGAGGGAAAATAGAGATGTAAGAGGTAAGAGAAAAAATAGTGTAGGCATTGGGATAAGTGAGGGTTCAACTATCCTTCGGCATGGGGTTTGGATAGTGGTGCGAGTCTTGAATATTTTGACCATCTCACATGTATTCTTTATTTTTATTCATATAGTGGAATATCTCTCTCCCGTGGATGATGGCAATTGGTGTTGAACCACATAAATCTTGGTATGATTATTTTTCTCTTTGGTGTGTGTGTATGCTTTGATTTGCATTTGGGGGATGTGGAATAAATCCCAACAAAATGCGAGTAGTTTGGTTCTTTGTTGCATGGAGTGAGGGAGGGAGGGTGACAACATATAGAAGTTTTTAAGGTTGGGAGTGCCTATGGAAGCATATATATATATATATATATTTCATATATTAAATATATAAATATATTCTAATAATTATTTTTTCTACGTAGTTGTGAAGTATGTGTTAAAATATAAATAAATATTTGAGATTGATGTCAATTATAATTTTTTTTTGGGTCAAATATGAATAAATATTATGTAAATAGAAAGTACTATAACAAGTTTAGGTTGTTTTTCTTTTGTTTATTTGATATTTGTATGTTTAAGAGTTTTTATCTTAGTTGTGAGCAAGTTTCTTCCTCGACGGGAATTATTTTGTTACTTGGGAGCGTAAACGAGTTTCTCAGTAAGAAACATCACCTAAGTAAGGAGGTTCCTGGTACTAAGGTTTGGTTTGTTTTCCTGTGTTACGGATTCACAGTATTTCTTATTTTCCTAGCAACCAATCTTCCTTGTTGCTCAAATTTAATTTGTGGTTTTGTTTTCTTTCTATATGATGTCATGGAAAGTTGGCTTTAGCTAAAGCATTAGTTGAATTTAGGCTTCAATGGTGACAAGGATGGAACTAGGATTTTGTCCCATGGGGGCAACCAGTGGCATCTCCATATTCTTTCAATGGGTTGCTCAACAAGTTATTGCAAAATTGAAATTTTTAGTTATATAGAATCCATCAAAATCAACTTCAAACATGTGGATCATCAGGGGAAAAATGCATGTCGAAAAAAATGAGATCTATTGTCAACACAAATTCATCAAATAATCTACCCAAAAACTCTTCACACATCTATGAATTTAGTGAGAAAAATTAAAATGATTGAATAGACCTAATATGGAGCTAGCAAAAATGGTTACAAAAACGTGTACATCTACAGGCACAAGAGGGGGTTTTAAAAAACATATTTAATATTGTTAAGTGGTCATGTGATGGTCTTTTATGGGTTTTTCCATACAATTCAAGTTTTATACTACTTTGTCCTTCTTTCCTTTTGCTGGCTATACACTTCATTGACCCTATTTGTTGCAACTCTTGATATGCCTAGCTAATAATCTAAAATCATAAGTGAAAACCCCAACTTTCCAATACTCGGCTTTTTTAGCCTTTTAAGTAATTTTTTGTCAGCAACCTATAAATAGAAGTTACAACAAATACTGTGACCAACACTGCCAAGAAATAAAAAATAAAAAAATCATAAGCACCCAAGCTGCAACAAATAGAATCATTTTAAATTTTTTTGGTTGGAACATGTGAATTTATCAATGTATGAATCTTTTATTAGAGTTTGGAGTCCATGCATATTTGAACTTTTTGTGAAATGTCCTATACATAGGCCATAATGTGGCTTCGTACATGAGTGGTGAATATTATTTCACAGCTAATTATAAGAGAGGCCATGATCAATTTGATTGTATTTCTATTTCTCTTTTATTTCTTATTCAAAATTTTCTGATGTTAAGAATCTATGGAAGATAGGTTTATATGATTATATGTAATATTAGTGCACACATTGTAGTCAACATAGTTTTCTGATGTGATTTTGAGAAGCTTCTTCTTTACTTAAGCATTGGTTTACTGTTTTTGTTCTGTAAGTTGTGCTTTTATGTTTCTAATTGCCCTTAAATACCTTGTTGGGTTTTATACTATGAGTTTGTGGTGAAGGAGATTTCAATATCTTCTTATGCTCAATGCTTCCACCATCAGTGTTTATGAATTCACCGTGTGCCTTTCTCTAACTCTATGCTTAGATCACGTGGAACAATGGTGAAAGCTGTTGCTGTTCTTAGTAGCAATGAGGGTGTGAGTGGAACTATCTACTTCACCCAAGAAGGAAATGGTAATAGAAGTTAATTAAATTGGGTAGCCAACATAGTGCAACTTGTATTGCTATTCTGAGTATTTTCCTGTCTAATTTAGTTCTCTATATTTTTACTTTCAGGTCCAACAAATGTTACGGGAAATGTTTCTGGCCTAAAGCCTGGGCTTCATGGCTTCCATGTCCATGCCCTTGGAGATACAACAAATGGTTGCATGTCAACTGGTGCTATATGATTACTGGCTTTCTTTTTCTTTCTTTTCCGCTCTTATTTGTACCATTACATCATTATGAGTTTGTGCAAAACCACAGAGTAAGAATTCACTTCTTACTCTACTACATAATTTTTTTAATTCTGAGTAGTATTTTTATTTTTAAAATTCTTAGGACCACATTTTAATCCTGCTGGCAAAGAACATGGTGCTCCTGAAGATGAGATTCGCCATGCTGGTGATCTGGGTAATGTGACAGTTGGTGGCAATGGTATGCACTGTGCTCTTCAATACTGTGTACTATTTTCATCCACAATTGGTTGATTGCCACATTATTTCTGCCTGCCATTATTTAATAATTACTTTACTTTCTCTTCTGCTAGAACTATGCTTTAGTTGACTCTCTTGTAGACATGGAGGCATCTAGTACTGTTTGAGTATCTCAAGGCTAGATCTGTAGCATATTTTGGATATTTGAAGGTTCCTTATCCTTTTAACATATTTTCATGTATTTCTGTGCTTTAGGTACTGCTAATTTCACAATTGTTGACAAGCAGGTGAATTAATTCTTCTTATTTTTGTTTCGTTGTGTTGGTTTGATCTTATTCTTTTCTAATTTTTATGTTTCTAAAGACATGGGACTATGAACATTCTTCATTTTAAGCTGTTGGCATATGCTTGCAGATTCCTCTCTGTGGTCCGAATTCCATTATTGGGAGGGCTGTTGTCGTCCATGCAGATCCCGATGATCTTGGCAAGGGTATGAGTAAAATTTAGAGCAATAAGATATTTTTCAATTAGTTTTGTTCTATTACTCCTTTATGCACCCTGGCTTACAAGGATTTAAAAAAAAATTTACAAAAATTTGGAATGAATAGAGTTAGTAGTCATTTAGAAATTCAAGCCATAATATTGTCACAACTTCAAAGCACTGTTGCAATGTGTTATTAAAGGATTATTAGTCATTTAGAAGTTCGAGCCAATTGGTTTGGTGGGAAACATGTTAAAAATAGTAGAATATCAGGGCGTAGGGAATTGGGCCATTCTTCTCGAAACAAATTGCTTATGTAAGAGTAAACAGAGTGTAGATGCATTAGTTGTGTTATTTAAACTTGATTTAACTTTGTAAGCTGTGAGTTTCTTATCTATACTCTATTCGTGATGGATTTTGGAGTAAGCTGGAGATGTCTCTGGTGACACATTTATTTTGATACACTTCTGGGCATCAGGAATATTTATGCTGTAGGATTTTCCGGTACTCTATGGTTTAAGACTAGGTATCAGTCGTCTCCCTTAATTATTAGAAACACAAAAAGGAAAAGAAAATCTTCCTACTTCCCTTTTGGGATGCACTGGGCTGGGGAAATTTCTTGCAATTGTATGTAGATGTCAATCTCAATCTCTTTTGGTCACTCTTAAGCGGAAGCAAAGATGCTGAGTTGTATTTTCTTACCTTGTCAAGCAAGAGTTACAGGTCAACTTGGGTAAAATTCAGATTCTAACATTCCTTTGGATGAATTACCATGATATCTGTGTGTATAATTTCAGTTATGCTAGTGTTCAGCTGAAGGTTATTCACTTCTTCACATTGTACGATTCAGCAGCTACAATAGGGATTGAATTTGTTTGAGAGTGGTGTTTTACTTGGTGGGGGGTCTTACTTTCATGTGGGGTATGTTAAATTCGTCTCTATATGTTGATTGTTTATTTTTAAAGTCCCTATTTGGTTGCAGATTCTCCCTATTCACTCTTTGGTAGAAAAGAAGGAATTTTGAACTATACTGTTGCAAGACTTTGTAGGACTTCCTTTAATTTTCCATATGCATTGATCTTCTAGAATGAGTGATATTGGGCTTCATGTGGCTCCTGTACGTAGCTTTCATAGTATTGTGACCTGAAGTACTGGTTTTGGCACAAACATTTATTTTTTGGAGGGGAGGTGGATATTATAACCCACACACTCAATCATTCATTGCTTTTGAGGTTTAAAGAGTAAAATAGGATTTGCCTTTGAAAGGTTTAGGGCAACTTTGATTAGGTTCTGCTATCTAGATTCATAATATGGCAAATTTAGGATAGTCTATGATTTGGAATATAGGACTTCCAATGTTGGTGGCTAGGGGTTCTATTGGTGGTCTTATGATACTTAGGCTTATTGAATTCCAGATTCAAGTGCTAGCAATCAGCTTTATATGTGAATGGTTTTGTGGACTACTTAGGCAAGAGAGTTTATGGATGACACTGATGTTTTAAAGTGTAAATATTGCCAGCAATAGGTGGTTTGAGGCTCGCAAAATTTTGAAGTTGTTTCTGTAATTGGGATATTTTCTACTCTTGTATGTGTAGTGGAAGGGTAGGAAGTTATGGATTGTGAAAAAGTGGGGTGGACAAACATTGGGTTGGGCTGGGTCAAGCCAGTCCAATACTATATAGTAAGAGTATGTGTCATTCCAAGCCTGTCCACTTAATCCAATAGATATGACCTATTAATTTTATTTTATTTTTTTCATCTTGATGTGCTATTAAATTATTTAGACCATTTTAATAGTGATTTGAATTTAGCACATTAACAAAATTCAATTGTAAAATAAATATGATCGTTAAGTAGCTTTTAATTTAAGCTCTAGAATGAAATATAGATATACGTACTTTTCCTGATCTTTATTATTTTTTTAGTTTATTTTGTAGCTAAATAATATAAATATTAATATTAATGTTTGGGCAAACTTCACTTTACTCTCCTTTGGTTTAGGCCATGTGCAATTGACTCCCTGACATTTAGAAATGACCACATAACCCCTATGTGGTTTGTGGACTGAAATGCATCGTTAAACATTTCATTTAACTTAACAAGTGTGAAACACGTGGCAGACATAATTGGGGGTTATATGATCATTTTCGAAGTTCAAAGGGTTAAATTGCACATGAAATAAAGTACAGGGGGTTAAAGTGTACTTTGCCTTTCAAACAAATGACAAAAATATAGGGCTATTTTGGTCTTTTTCATTAAATCGTTAACGGACTTAACGGTGCAATTCAGTTCACAAACCACAAGGGTGTTATGTGGTCATTTCAAAATGTTAGGGAGGTAAATTGCACATGGCCCAAATCACAAGGAGGTAAAGTGAAGTTTGCCTTTAATATTTTATAAATAGCCGGGCTGGGGTCATAGTGGGCTAAAATTTTTTATCCCATGTCGAGGTCAAAAATTAAATGCACTCAAAATTTTGGTCCAGCCCAGCCTTATGGGCTAAATATTATTCCCAAGCCCTAAGAATATTGGGTTGGGTTGGGCGGGCCATCGACCCCATGGCCACCCCTATGTGAAAGGCTTTACAAATTTGCTAAAATAGTAAGGTTTGAGTTGTGATCGAAATTAATGAGTCAACTCTTGAGAGGGTATATGTTGTAGTTTTGTTTTGTATTGGAGGAAGTATACTGTACTAACAACAAATCAAGAGAAAGTAGACCCATTATTGTTTTGGATTTTTTCCAGTCTAATCTGGACAATATCGGTTGTAATTTTGTCCAATTTTGTATCATTCCAGCTATTCTGATAAGTATCGTTGGTGGGTTTAGTTATAGTCAATATTGTATTAACCAACATACCAGTTTTGTCATTAGTATGGTATGCACTATTGAATATAGAAATTAGAGTACATAGAATCTTTTTATTTTTAGGGGTTGTTTGGAGTGTCCTAAACAAGTGCACTTTTTGTCTTTTTGGACTAGAAAATTGAGGAAGAAAATATGGATGCTTGGGTTAACTTTTTGACTTTTTATGGAAAAATGTGTAATAAAAAATTGTAAAAATTGATTTGTAGGGAACCAACTCGCCTGCCTTAGCTTCCTTGGGAGTTGTGCAGCCGTAATTGTTGACTTTTGGTGAATAGTGTTAACTTTTTAACTTTTTGAGTAACTTTTTGACTTTTTGGCTTTTTTGCAATATGCAAAACTTGGCCTTAGTATTATGTATATAATCTGTGATTGTGTCGATCACTGATTTAGTATTGTTTCCTTATTTATATCGTTTCCTAAATTGTATCGTGAATCTATTATATATACATGGCCTCTACCTCATTCAATGGTCTACAATTGTTTTTGCATTCTTTAGAATATAATATTTTACATGAATGATGTCTTAATGTTTAAGTTAATTAGTGTTATTATTATTATTATTTATTTATTTAATTTTTATTTTTCCATTTGAATAAATTATTCATATATTTGATATATAGTAAAATTTTAAAATTATAAATTTAGTATGTGTCCCAATAGTATTGTGTCCAACATTTTTTAAAATTGTTGTCTATGTTTCTTTGTTGTGTCTCGTGTCTGTGTTTGTGCTACGTAGATCATAGTGATCAGGAATCTAGCATGGCTTATAATCTCAAACATAGGGATACACCTACAAACTTAATTTTCAAACATATCTTAAAAGAATAATTCTCTTGAAAGCATAGTTTCTTTTTCCATTGAAAGCATAGTTTTTCTTTCTATAACTGTTAGTCTGTCACACACCACTCATCTCTTTCTATCTTCTCTTTCTCCCTCTCTCATATCTTCCCTCTTTCTTTTCCTTAGTCTCCAGCCAAAGCTACCAACTACTGCTTTTCCTCGCACCTCTGTTCAACAATGCATCACTATCACTATAGTTAGTTATTAATTTACAATAAATCTGTGGGTTTATTTGTAGTGAGAGAGACATGGGCAAATTACGCCAACAGTATCAGAAGTTTTCTTTTCTTTTTGTCAATTTGATCCCTGCAATTCCAATTGTAACAAATTTGCCCCTTAATTTTATTTGTGTCTAATAAAGACAATCATTAATGGACATCCAATTCTTTGATGGAAAATTGTCACATGTATTGCATGTGACGATTTTTCAAGGTAAAATTGTCAACGCACCCAATCTATCTCTCAGCAAATTAGAACAAACCAGAACACTATCTTTATTTACCCATGCACATGACCATACGAAATAGCTTGTCCATCTCTTTTCCTCTTCCTTCTTCAACGCCAACAATCAGTCCCCTCCTCCACCGACCACCACTCCACCCTCCCCACCGCTGCTGACCTCTCCCCTGCAACTCACCCCCATCTCCCTGTCTATTTTTCTCTCTACTGAACACCTTGTAACAACACCCCATTGTCTTCAACATCCTATTAGCTGCCCTGGACAAACTAATTTTGACCATCACCTGAAATGTCTGAAATCAATACCCATCAAGGTTTCTCTCTACTGAACACCTTGTAGCAACACCCCATTGTCTTCAACATCCTATTAGCTGCCATGGACAAACTAATTTGATCATCACCTGAAAAGGCCGAAATCAATACCCATCAATTTATTTATTTATTCTTGTTTTGAGATTTCTTACTCATGCACGCACAACCCCTCTGCTTTCAGTTTATGATTGATTTATGATGTGGATTGTAAAGTTGAAATGCTTTCCAGAGATGGAGAGCAATATAAGGAGCTTTTCTTGATTTACAAATCAAGTTTCTTGAAGCATCAACAATTTCTTTGAATACCCTATAAAAACGAACAAAGAGGTAACATCAAACCATGGTTGAAGCTGTTAAAATCTTATTCGTTCTGCTTCTATTGCTCAACAGATTCACCAAATTCGTTCTGCTTCTATTCCGCTAGCCTCCTCACCGACTGAGGGGGTCTCATCTGCTGGTGGAGAGGAGCAGAGGTACGGGTGGCAGAGGTGTGGTGAAGGAGGTGATCTGGTAGTGGGGAAGAGCAAAGGAAGGGTTGTCTAGCGGTAAGGAGAGGAGAGGAGAGGAGAGAAGAGAAGAGAAGGAGGGTGTGATCGTTGATCGAGGAGGGAAGGGGTGTGGTCCTTGGTGGAGAGAGATCTATTTGGTGTGGTGAAATGCATGGTAAATCAAGATGAGTGGTATCTGGTTTGTTTTGAGAGAGAGATAGGGTGTATTGACCATTTTGACCTTGAAAAATGGTCACGTGCATGTGGCCATTTTCCGTCAAAAAAATAAGAGGTTAGTTAACAATTGTCCTTATTCGATACAAAATTCAAAGTTAAAGGGCAAGTATGTAGCAATTGAAATTACATGGACTAAATTGATATAAAGGGAAAACTTCAGGGACCATTGGTGTTATGTTTCCTAATGCATAATATGCCCATTAAAATTTTAAATTAAATATGACATTTTCAATAAATATATAACATTTATCGTGATAAATCAGAAATAGTTTGCGGGAACATATTGGTACCAGTTCATACTATACCAATGACAAAACTGGTGCATTGGCCATGGTATTGACAACATTGTGTAGAACTGCACCATATGCAGAGGATAATTCTTGAGATGTATGGGGATAAAACTATTTGAATTTTATATTTCCAACTTGTGTCACTCCCCTTTTTTCCTTGCAGCCAAACTAAGTTTTAAATTCCTAACTTCTTTGAACTGAGGTCTTTTAATTTTGTACCCCTGCTGTTAGACCAAGAATTTGTCCGGATTGTACTTTAATGTAGCATGTCACTGACTAAGTTAAAAGTAGTGTCGTTGCTTGCCATATTGAGTGAAGATTAGTAGATTGACTTCTACATATGGTGGAAAATAAAGAGAGATACAGTAGATTGGATTTTGTGTCTTCTAGTCACTTTTCTATTTGGATGGAGTTCATAGCCATTGTAGTATGTTTTACTGCTACTAAGTGTTTTTTTATGTTTATGTGATTGCTCAAGTTATTAGGTTATTTCAGATGCTTATTTTCCTTCTTTCTTCCCCACAAGTAATAGCATGACATTTGGATAAGTTAATCTGGATGTTGGGCTTTGCATTTTGGTAATTGGTACATTGATTTTAAGTAAAGCAAAAAAATAGAGAAGATTTTTTTCCCTGCTTAGTCCCCATCCCAATCCAAACATGAATTAATCATATATTTTCTTTCTTTCAGGTGAACATGAGCTAAGCAAAAGCACCGGCAATGCTGGTGGCAGGGTTGCCTGTGGTAAGCAAAGTAGTTTCTCCTTTCACATGCACATGACTTCTCTCCTGTTCCAGTAGACTGGAGCTCTCTTCTTCTTCTTCTTCTATTTTTATATTTATTTTTTATTTTTTATAATTACATTAGTTCTTCAGAAGATGGACACTTGCTGATGTTTCCCTATTGGTCCATGTCTGCTATTCTACCTTTTGATTATGTAATCCCAAAGTTCTAATAAGTAAATTTACTTGCATGCAGGTATTATTGGCTTGCAAGGCTAAGTTTGTTTCGATCCCCGTGGTAAACCAATGCAGTCAAATATGTTTGCTCTGCAACTTAAAGAGACCAGAGTTAAAGAGTACTCAAAGGAAACTACATCGAATAAAGGAACAAAAATCTGTGTTTTGGTTGGCTTTATTTTGAGATTTTGATCTTAGAGTCTAGGTTAGAGTACTAAAAAGGAAACTATTTTGAATAAAGGAACAAAAATCTGTGTTTGTGGTTGGCTTCATTTCGAGATTTTGATATTAGTCAGGTTAAGAGTACTAAAAATGACACTAAAGTCAAATAAAGGAACAAAATCTGTGTTTTGGTTGGCTTTATTTTGAGATTTTGGTGGTATATTAAAAGTGTTTTGTTGCCTTCACCATTTTACTTGTGTTTGTAGGGTTAATTATACCAATATTGTCTCTATTATTAACAAATATCACGGTATATATTGACTTTTTTAATTGTGAAATTATATAAATATACTTCTTTTGGACGTGTTTTGAAGGGGTGAAAGTGATGATACATTTTTAAAGCTGAAGAGATCAAAATGTACAAGTTTATAAATAAAGAGAGTAGAGTGATATTTGTAATAGTTTAAGTGGTCGTGATGAAAAAAAAAATTGTTAGATTTGCTTGGATCATGATAAATTTGAAGTTCCACGTTTAGATTTGTTTGGATCATGATAAATTTGAACTTCCACTGTTAAACGTTTTATTTAAAATCATTCTAGGCTAAGTGATGTTATACAAAAGTTCTAGTAAAATCCATCTTTAATGTGTATTTTGTCTACCTTTTTTAGTTTAGCCTATTCTTGCTCTATTTGATACATTGGAATGAGATAAATAGAATCGAATGAATGACGATTCTCTTAGTTTTTTTATGGAATGACCATTATTTTAAAATGATAAAAAATTATTGCATTTGTAATGCATTTGTCATTAGTTTTTAATTTAACTAAACATAGAAATAAATATTTTAATGGAATAATCATTTTATTTTCATTTTGTTCTAGTGGATCAAATATTATTTTGGGGTCTATTTTGCAAATCATGTTATTTTAATCGCATTGATGTCATATTTCAACATGATAAATATGTTCAGTGAAAGTGCTATTTCTTTAGCATGATTTAATTTATAACATATGATGTGATCATGTATATTTAATTATTTATATTTGTAGTATTTTTAAATTAAAAGTTTAATTAAAAATTGCAATTCAATAATTAATATTAAAATTTTCTATTTACTAGCTTAATTTAAAGGGATAATTACACCTTAGTGTAACACTAAACCAAATCAAGTCTTAAGTCCCATCTGATAAGATCAGTTACATGAATTTTTTTTCTCTATCTGATTCTATCAAAGGCCAAGGAGATTTATATCTCCATTTACTATATTAGCCCACATCAATTTAGGTCTGCTTCTTCCTCTAACACTTTCATTTACCATCATTGTATTACATCTCTTCATTACTGTCTCTGTTGGTTTTCGTTGTATATAACCAAATCATCCCAATCTATTTTCTCTTAACTTATTTTGTCACGCCTCGTATTTTATTACTCGAATAAAATTACTAATATTCATTAATCAAATCCATTTACAAATGTCAATTCATCATTTGATGAAATGATGAATAATTAAATATATATATTTCCTCTCATGATACAACAATGAAATTTTCATACAAATAAAAGAAATTCCCTGAGGCTTATAATAAAAGAGATGACACTACTCTTTACAAAAAAACAGCACTCAGCCAAACAAACAAATGAAGTAGTACAATCCATCACTACATTACACTTATAAAATGGTAAAACCCATCGTTTGATATTCAAATCTGAAAAGCATTTCTTGTACACATGTATAGGCAGGGGGTGAGCAACCACTAACTCACCAAACAATCTCATATTAAAATATAAAAAGATATGCAAGTACCAAAATAGTCATACATATACGTGAAATCATATCATGTCAAAACCATATGATTCTATTGCATAATCTCTTGCATCTAATTTATTTTAATTAATCACAACTAGTTAATTTAAATAAATAAACATGCTTCAAAAGCAATAAGACATCCTCTTCAATTCATTCAATTACCCATTTGTCAATGGAATCAAACAGTTAAACAATTCATAATAACATTTAACAAAGTATCAATACATTTTATACAGTTTTATGAGATGAATGCATATGTCATGTCATGCTTGAAATATTTTTCTCATCTTTTGAAAATCTTATGTATAATGCCAATTTGAAAACATATTAATGCAACAATTTCAATAAAATTCCAAAGTGGTAAATACGACTTAGGTAATCCCTAGGTTGGTGTCTGCAAGTAAACTATACAAGTACTACCAATTTGTCATTTTTACTAGTATTAACTGGAAGGCTCGACACCTGTAATCTGTCATTTTTACTAGTATTAACTAGAAGGCTCGACACTTGTAATCTGTCATTTTTACCAATATTAATTGGAAGGCTTGATACCTATCATCTACACCACCTTTCAAGACTTACCACCATATTTACCCCAAAATCATTTCATGAAAATTTGTTTTTCAACATTCTTTTCTCAATGCAAAGTTTTCAAATCAAATTTCAAAACTCATCATTATCAAATGAATTGATATGCCAATGCAATGATTAATAATATAATGTAATATTTCTTCCACTTTCAATACTTCCACATAATATTTCCATTGTGATCAAAATTCTCATTTCTCATTTCAATATAATTTCTCAAGATGAATATAAATACTTTTATTCCAATTCATCCACGGAACAACAAAATTCCCACACTTAGAATAATTTCAACAATTTAGTCACTTTAAGACTATATCAACATTTTGAACAACAATTTTCAAAACTTCAACAATTCTCATATTCCATGAAAACCATCATTTATATGTAAACAAATAAACAATTTTTTTCAAACATCATTTATTTTGACACACATAATAAATATAACAACATGTTCAAAGATTGTCAACATCTTTCTTAAAAACTCCCAATTTTTAGGTTTTCTCACCAAAATTACTCATCTTCATTTATTGAAAGAAAGTCACCAAAAACATTTCTCTTCAATCCTCATAGCTCAAAACCCTCAATTTCTATTTTAAAAGGAACAAGAAAGTAAACCCACTTTCAAAAAAAAAAAAAAAACTCTCATCTTCTTGAATCAACAATCAATTTTCAAAACAAATTAAAAGATAATTTCGAAAATCATCTAGATCTTGCAAAAACATATATATAACTATATTTCAACATAACCATTTTTCATGCCAAGCTATTCAAAGAGGTAATATTTTTGCCAAATTCTCTACCAGTAACAATTTCACAATTTTTTCTAAAATTACTTAACCAACATGATATTTACATCAAAAATTATGAAATATGCCCAATAATAATATTTTTAAGGTTATGAGTTTGAAAGTCCACATTTCACATCTTTATTTTCATAAAAATGAATAAAACTTAATTATCAACATATCATCTTTTATAAAATATCATGAATATAACATTTTTAGAGTTTTTAATCCCAAAACAATTCTATAATCCCAACTTAGGCATTTACTCAATATTCATCAACATAAATTTATTTTTTTCAAAAATAAATTCCAAATCAAAGATAAAAAAAAATATTTCAACTTAATATTTCTCAAAATAAATCATCTAATCATAATATGATGTAGATACAATCCATACAACTATTAAAATGAATTTTTTAAATTTTTAACAACAAAATTTCAACACAAAGTGGTCTTCCCAAATCAACCTCAAAATACCACTTTTCTTAACATTCCAACATAATTATTCTTCCAAAAATTACCTAACAAAAATCTGGAAAAAAAAATATATGCAATACCTCTTATAATGATATATTTTCTCAAAATAATCCTAACATAGCTTTAATTTAAAAATATGAAGAAAGTCCTTATCTCAAATATGGAGAAAAGCTAATCCGAAAATGCAAACATCACCCGATCATGAATCTTAGAACACCAGTGCGAAGATCATGATGAGCTCTCCAACTTTTATTTACAACACTTTTGCAAAATCTCACTTTAAGAACTCCCATTTGAAACTCAAAGATTGAGCAACAATGGAAGAAAAGAAGAGAGAGAGCGCTCTGCTCAAAATAAAGAAGGAAAAGTAAAAGTGGAAGAAAAGCTAGGGCCAACCTCACGTGGGTTGTCACCCACTACACAATTGTATTATTTAAAATTTGTAGTAATATCTCAAAATTTTATAATATAAAATATAAAATGATATAATTTTTCTTACCACAAAATATAATATTTTTGTACACCATAAAATATAATATTTTGCTCACTATCAAATATACACATTTTCATTCTTTATAAAATATATAATTTTCACCATATGGTACACACCATAAAATCAACTATCAAATATTTATTATAACTCCTATATAATAAACAATAACAACTCTCAAGGTGGTTACTACCAATCACATAATTAAAAATGACCAAACAGTTAAACATGAGTCACTAAACAAACTCAAATTACATTAAATCTAAGTCATGGGTTCCACCTATAAGCCAAACATGGTCCAATTATATACCAAGATAGATCAAACAAATTTATCCAAATAATGATCTAAACATTCAAAATTAAATAACAAAATTCTACTATAAATTAAACTGAACACCAATCAGTCCATGTATTTTCATAAAATAAATACTCATCATTTAATTCTGAAAATTTTTATCCAACATGCTAGATTCATATGGGAACAATATAGTAAAATTTCATAATTTTATGAGATCGGAAACTATTTTTAAAAAATATAAAACCAAACTGTTTTTGCATAGAATTTACATAGCAATCAAATTCGAAAATTTGCTCAATTAAATTATACACTGGCTATTTAAATTTTTTTTTTTTGGGTCATTACATATTTTGTATTGGTGTTACTTCTACCCATTCATGAATATACTCATTCCTAACTTTGTTTTTTCTAGTCTTGCCATTCATCCATCTTAGCATCCTTATTTTAGTAACACTCATCTTATCTATATATTGTTTCTTAATTGTCTAACATTCTGTCTCATACAACATTGCTGGTCTAATAGTCATTCTATAAAACTTTCCTTTTAGTCTAATGGGCACTTATTTATCACACAGTACTCTAGATGCACTACTCTATTTAAGCCACTCAGCCTTAATTCTATGGATCACATCTGTTCCAATTTCTCCAGCCGTTATGATAATCGATCATAAATAATGAAAATGTTCACTATTAGTTAATTATTGGTTCTCAATCTTTACTTCTCCTTTGTTTCCATTGTTGTCACTAAAATTACATTCCACGTATTCTCCCTTAGTTCTATTTATCCTAAATCCTTTAG